GTCATGAGAGGAAAGTAGCTACATTTATCTAGTCTTCAACCCCATAGAAGATCCAAGAAGGGAAATAATGTTACCTGAATAATTAGGAAGTGCAATCAAAGAACTTCCAAAACATGCAACAAATCACAAAGACAACTGGCTACCTGGGCAATCAAAAAAGACCTGTTTGCAGCGTTGAAGCAGCTAACCTTGACTAAGGCCTAGAATAACTGACAGATTATTTTTAACAGGCAAGAGATTTTCCAAAACCATCTTACCCTGTCTTGGCAAGATTTAACAGTTCTGTTTATCCATTTCAGGATTTTATCCATTTCCGGATTTTAACATGCAAGAGATTTTTCAAAACCGTCTTACCCTGTCTTGGTAAGATTTGACAGTTCTGCTTATCCATTTCTGGATACTGTGTATTTGTCAGTGTTGAGGTATGGGCAGTTCCTTGCCCAGAGGCCAGTTTTGTCAAAAAGACAAGCTCCAAGTGGAGTGTCTTTGGTGCTCAACAATCTCTGGGGAATAGGTCGGTGTTGCCAAGAGTGATTGTGTCTCACTACACAGAACTCTAAGATTACATTAAATCCATTTTCTACAGCTCTTCGAAGAGGTTGAAGACTATTTATACAGAATATAATCTCTATGTATCTAAAGAACATGATTAGTCTAACCATAAATATGACAGACATAGATGACTATTGACCTATAATTCTTAACACATATCTAATTTAAAGACTAAGAGAATAAACAACTGTGCAATAAATGAGGACAATGTATCTTAATCAGAGGTAGAAATGTACACTGCAATATGGTATACATATATCAATACAATATATATCAATACATAAAAATGTTTTAAACAGGTAGAAGCATGCATACATGCAATATTCAATATAATTTAACTCTGTATCCATATACAAAAATCTATGCCAATGTAGTTATCTATAAACAATAACTCACAAATACCATTATTATCTATCCAATTATCCCTCTTTTTTTTTCAAAAAGATCCCTGAGCTTATAAAATTTGTTTCCCAACTCTCAATCGTATACTAATAATAATCAGTTCCTAAATATTGTTCCTAAACTGAGGACAAACTTTGCTGAGAGAGGGGACATTGTTCTCTAGAATTACTTCCAGCTGTCATGGGGTGAGGTTCTTTCTGGAGGATCCTGTGAAAGTAAAATGATGGTTAAATTCCAAGATCAATGTCTTTTAAAATTGCAAACAGTCTCTGAGTATTTTATGGAGGTCTGGTCAGAATGTTGTACAAGATATGCACCATTTCAGCTAACCAAGTTGGAATCATCTGTGCAGCTGATACCCGAAACAGGACTTGTAGTAGCACCTTCAGTATCATGACGTCATATCAAACGAGTGGAGTTATTGTTATGGGGGTCCCATCTTCTTCCTGGAAACTTCAAATGTCAGTGCAGGAAAAACTCATTGTTCATTGTGGAAAACTTAAACATTAATTATATAGACATATACAAACATATATTCAATGAAAGGTATGATAGACATATTCAAAGAAAAGTATGATAGATATGAAGAAAATCAAAGATGTTTTCTAAACTCATATTTCTTTCTGTCTCAATATCATGGCTCTTGACATAAGACAGAAACTCCAGAAACTCTGGGTTTTTCTCTTAACAACAGGCTCGTAATTAGAGAGGGACTGAGAAAAGAGTCCAACTCCAAAACCAGCTCTATAAATTCAGAAATATGATTTAGTATATTCCAGAGTTTCATACTCACAGAACTTACTCAGTTTTCTTGATAGTCCTTATTGGGTAGTTATATTTGCATCTGTTAGTATTCAAACATTCAGGGTCCCTTGAATTTTTCAAAGATGAGTGTTTTCCTGTGGAGATAAGAACTGAACCCTGCCCCCATTTTGTTTTTCTTACCACCTGTATGGTTACCATCATTGTATATGCTGTCATTTCTTTTTTCCAAGAGGTTTCTTCTCTTCAAATCTAACCTTTATTAATTTTGATGGTATCCACAACTTTTCTTCTCCGGTGGAAAGAAGAGCAAAACCCCTTCCCTGACGTAGCACATTTCCTGGCTTCCATTGAGAGGTCAGCACATCCTTGATATAAACCAGTTGATTTAGTTCCGCAAACTTTTCCATTATCCAATGTCTTTCTGCTGCTGTTGTTCCCTTCTCATTAGTGTTAAGAAAATTCAAGGTTAATAAGGCATTATGTAATCTATTTCTGGGGGCATTTTCCACCCCTTTCTGTTTATTTAACATATCCTTTATAGTTGGATTTGATCTTTCTATGACTGCTTGACCTGTAGGATTGTATGGTATACCTGTAACATGCTTAATATTATAATAAGCAAAAAACCGTTTTATTTTCCTAGAGACATACCTGGACCATTATCTGTTTTTATTTGTGCAGGTATACCCATAATGGCCATAACTTCTAATAAATGTGTGATATCTGAGTCAGCTTTTTCTGAGCTCAAAGCAGTTGCCCACTGAAAGCCTGAATAAGTGTCAATGGTGTGATGTACATATTTTAAATTTCCATATTCTGCAAAGTGGAACACTTCCTTCTGTCAGATTTCATCCCTTTGAGTACCCTTTGGGTTAGTCCCTGCAGGTAGTGGTGTTTGGTTATATAAAGAGCAAGTAGGGCATCTCTTTACAATCTCCTTAGCTTGATGCCATGTAATGGAAAACTCTTCCTTTAAGCCTTTGCTACTGATGTGATGCTTTTTATGAAATTCTGAGTCCTGCAACACGCTTCCAGTTAATAATTGATCAATTTCTACATTACCTTGTGCTAGAGGACCTGGCAGACCCGTATGGAACTGGATGTGTGTTAGGTCCATCGGGCAAAGCCTATTCCTGATTATGTCTTGTACCTGGATAAACAATAAGGTCAATTCTGTATCACCTGGTATAAATTCAGCAGTTTCAATATGCAAGACAACTCTTTCTTCATATTATGAATCTGTAACAATATTAGGAGGTTCTTTAAAATCCCTTAACACCATAAGAATGGCATATAATTCTGCCTTCTGGACAGAAGTATAAGGGCTTTGTTCCATCTTACTCAATTCATCTGATTTGTATTCAGCCTTCCCTGATTTATTAGCATCAGTATAAAATGTACGGGTTCCAGTTATTGGAGCATCACGTACAATTCGAGGAGGAATCCAAGAAGTTCTTTTTATAAGGTTAAGTCTACCACTTTTTGGATAGTTGCTATTAATTTCTCCCAAAAAATTAGCACAAGCCCTTTGCCATGGTTCGTTGTCATCCCATAACTTTTTTATTTCATCAGTAGTGAAAGGCACTATAATTTCTGCTGGGTTTATACCTACAAATTGACAAATTCTCAGTTTACCTTTTATAATTAATTTAGAGACATTTTCCCCATAATTTTAAATTTTTTAAGTGGTTTGTGTGGTAAAAATATTCATTCTAAAATATTATCTTCCCTCTGCATTAAAATTCCTGTAGGAGAAATTCTTGAAGGCAATATGACTAGAATACAACTAAGATTTGTGTTGACCCTATCCACATGTGCCTCCTATAATTTTCCCTCAACCAATGTCAGTTACTTTTCTGCTTCAGCTGTTATTTCTCTGGAACTATTCAAATCTTTGTCACCATCTAAGGTTTTGTTTAAATGAATTATTAGATCAGGTGTTATCCCAACAGCCGGTCATATACTGGAAATATCTCCTAACAATCTCTGAAAATCATTAAGAGTCCATAACCAGTCTATCCTAATTGGTGCCTTTTGTGTCCTAATTTTCTGTAAACCTATTCTGTACCCTAGGTAATCAACAGAATCTCCTCTTTGAATCATTTCAGGAGCAATTTGTAATCCCCATTTAGGCAAAATTATCTTTACTTTCTCAAACATTCTTTCTACAGTATCTATGTTTGTATCGGATAGCAAAATGTCATCCATGTAATGGTATATTATAGATTTAGGGAATTGCTTACGTATTATTTCCAATGTCTGACTTACAAAGTATTGACACAGGCTGAGGCTATTGAGCATTCCCTGTGGGAGGATAGTCCATTGATATCTCCTAGTAGACTGGGAGTTATTATAAGTAGGCACTGTGAAGGCAATTTTTTCTCTATCCTTTTCTTGTAATGGTATGGTAAAGAAGCAATTCTTCAAGTCAATAACGATAAGAGGCCATCCTTTGGGTAACAGAGAAGGCAGAAGAAGTCCAGACTGCAGAGGGCCCATAGGTTGAATTACCTTGTTGACAGCCCTTAGATCTGTCACCATTCTCCATTTGCCAGATTTCTTTTTTACAACAAACACAGGAGAATTCCAAGGGCTAGTCGACTCCTCAATATGTTGAGCATCTAATTGTTCCTGTACCAATTGTTCTAAAGCCTGCAATTTATCTTCAGCTAAAGGCCATTGTTTAACTCATATTAGCTTTTCAGTTAGCCATTTTAAAGGTAGGGCTGTAGGTACCTCTAAAGGTTTGTTAGTTGTTTTGTGTTCTTGTACAGCCTGAATGGCTGGTGATTTTTGTGCATAGTACTTTATTATATCCTTCCCAGAATCATGACTTCCTGAGACTGCAGGAATATTAATCTGGGTATTCCATTGTTGTAGCAGGTCACAGCCCCATAAATTTATTATAATATCAGCTACATATGGCATTTACTTTCCTCTTTGACCCTCTTGCACAATACAGTGAACCCATCTCGTGCTTTGTTTAACTAGAGATATGGTTCCAATTCCTAGTAATTGAACATCTGCCTCTTGAAGAGGCCAATTTGGATGCCAGGATTCTGGAGTGGTGATACATCTGCTCCTGTGTCTATCAAGCCAACAATCACAATTCCATTTATTCGTACTCTCAGCTTTGGTCTGTGATCATTTATAGAAGTTTGTCAAAATATATGTTTCTTATTTCCTAATTGAATTTCTGACTTATCCTCCAAATTTGCATCATTTAGAACCTTATGGTCTTGTACAAAAGCTTCTAGAGTTTTTAATTTTCCTGGTGTAACATGTCCTCCAAGGTTACTGGGAATGACTGGGCCACTTTTGGCTTGGTGGCCTGCGAGACGCCCCTCAGGAAGTTTCCCAATGGTATCAGGTTGCCTTGTCTGTCTGTTGTTGATCTGCATTCATTCGTCCAATGTCTTCCTTTACCATACCTCCTACATATACCTGAAGACCAAGGTTTCCTATTCCTGCCATTCCCAGATGAAGTGTTATTCCTAGAAATACCTTGCCTGTAATCCCATTTTAGATGTCCAAATTTACAATTAAAACATTTGACAGGTTGATGTCCCCTCATCGCTTTGGAAATTGCTTCTCTTACCCAAGATTCGTCATCGTAATTAAAGGTCTAAAAATTCATGCTATGCTGGATCCATTCATCCATAGGTGCTGATCTAGACCTTAAAGGCCCAATTATCTTTTTGCTGTCTAAGTTTGCATTTTCAAAAGCCATTCATTCAAGAATTAGTCGTCTAGCTTCTAGGTCTGTTAATTCTGTGTTCAGAGCCTTAATTAATCTTCACAAAAAGTCAGTATAGGGTTCTCCCTGTCCCTGCATAACCCTAGTATATGACTCTACCTTTCTTCCTGGCTCTGATAATCTACCCCAAGCATTTTAAGCTGCCTTGTGGCATAGAGACAATACGTCATCATCATAAAGAACTTGGACCTGTGGATCAGCGTAAGCTCCTACACCAAGACTTTGATCCTGGGAAACCTCCACACATTTTGCTCTTCCATATGTTTGGATTCTTCCTTGAAATAAACTCTAAACATCAAGGAAGGTCCATCTTCGAGGACCACTGAAGCTAACTGTGAGAAATCGTGGGGGATAGCCCTGACATTAGAAGCCCAAATCCTTATCATTTTCTTAACAAATGTAGAGTGCAAGCCATAATTAACAACGGCTTGCTTAATTTCCTTTAGGTCATTCATTCCTATTGGCGTCCATCTAGATTCTTTGGCTTCCTTTAGGCCTTTAAAAGTTGATGCTTTGTCAGAATAAATTACAGGGCATGTTGCTAAAACCCTAGGTAAGCCAGTTCTAACAGGTGGTGGTGATGGCATTGTATCCTGCCCTTGTGTCTTCTCACCTGGATCATCAGTTCCAATAATTTTTTCAATCATTTCAAATCTTTGTATCATCGTCTTTCTTAAATCCTGAATCTCCTGACCTGCATGTGTTTCTAGTGATTTCACTAAGGTATCAATTTTTTGGTCTGCACTTCTCATTCCAAGGTTTTAATGCTTCCTTTTAAAGAAACTATCTCCTCCTTGAACTGCCTCTGGATAGCATATAAATTGCCACCCTGGAGGTATATTCTCTCTGTTACCTTATCAAAACTCTGTGATAACTTTTCAAAGTCAAATTCAACAGCTTGGATCCTTTCAGGTAATTTCCTAGTACCCTTAGATAAGGAGTCAATTTTGCCAATTATTATTCTATCAATTAATAGTATCAAATAATAGTATTCCATCAATTAGTAGTATTAATTCTATCAATCAATGCCACATATTTCCACAATGATATAACATTAAGAAGGAAACTAAAACCTAATAATCAGTAAATCGAGGTACCTCCATAGGCATATAGACCACTTGTGATTTCTACTAAAGTGGCAGCAAAAGCTGCAGCTAGAGTCCCGTTAAGAAAGAAGCCTGCCATTTTACCTGTCAGCTACGGGATGGCAATGTCTCCGAGTTGCGACTGGAACCACTGTAGGCCTCACGACAATTCCTGTTTTAAAATCTGCTCTGTTATTTGTTTAACAACTGGGGAAAATGAGTCAATTGAGAGGTCAGATGTACACAGAGAGAAAATCCAGAGGCCAGGCACAGAGCACAAAAGGTCAGAGAGTTTCTAGTGGCCAATAAACAAGGCAGCCTGGCCTATCCTGGTCGGGCTCTCCTGTCCTGCTGCTCTGTTCAACCCGATGCAGAGGGTCATGACACAGCCACTGTGCTGTTCCTAAAGAGGCCTATTGCTTTGGTCCCTGTGTCCCTGTGCTGGGATTAAGGGTCAAGCTGCTTGCAGCACTCCCAATCAGTTATAGCAGATGGCGGGGATTTCAAACAGCATTGTTGGGAGCTTGCCCTGTGAGCTCTGTGACTCATGTTGCAAGGGAAAATTTAAAAATCCATGCAGAACAGATCAAAATAGGCTGGCAGAGACTGTCAGAACCTGTGTATCCCGGGAGGCATGGAGGTTATGGCTGAGGGAGGACTGGTGCCAAGCCAAGCTGGCCAAGCCGAGCTGGCAGCAGGCAGCCAAGCCAGAGGCTGGCAGCTGAGCTGGGGGATGAGGGGTGTGGGGTGATTCTTAAACCAAATGCTGGGTGCCAGATAATGACGAATCAATCCCACACCAGTTAGGTTTTAAAGGGGTATTTATTTTGGGGGGGTAAAAGTTACATACACACAAACCATCAGGAAAGGAGCCTAGTCACTGGAGCAGGAGCCGGAACCAAGAGACCGAACTGAGGCTTGCTCCTCTTTTTTAAAGAGAAATATACCACGCCCCAATGGGCTGGTATTTCAGCAGCTATTGGCTGAAGGAGTGGAAGACGCTCCCACAGCATTGTTGGCTCATACTTCAGTGACTATTGGCTGAAGGTGTGGAAGGTACTCCCACAGCAATGTGGGACAACTAGACAGGAAGTCTGTGGGACAACCAGACAGGAAGTAAAGGTGGGACAATGAGAACAGGGGAATGCTAGGAAGGAGGAAGCCCATTCCTCCCCAATCCTGCCCAGACCACAGAAGAAGCAGGATATGACCTGTTCAGCTGAAAAAGGGACTGAGCCATGTGGCTAGCATAGAAAAGAATAATGGATTAATATAAGTTATAAGAGCTAATAAGAAGCCTTATCTAATGGGCCAATCAGTTTATAATTTATGGAGACCTCTTTGTGATTTTCTTTTGGGGCTTACTGGCTATGGGAACTGAGCAGGAAAGAAACCCCAACAAACAGGCCCTCATGTTACAAATATGTGCAGCAGGATTCAAATAATAAGTCTGTCTCTGTTTCCTTAGTTCTGGAATTAAAGATGTGTGTGGAATCAGCATGTTCCATTAAGTTGATTGTGATTAAACCATTTAATCACAGTGAGTATTATACTAATTTATGTTGATCTATTAATGGTTTTAACGTTTAGAATATATTAACTTACATTTTTCTTATATTTATTAAGAAAAAAATCATCAAGCAAGTCACTAAACCTTTTTGTCCTGATGGATTGATTTTTCTATGTTGTATTTACACTGAGAATACACATTAAATTGAAATCCCTGTAAATATTTCATTTGTATTTCAGCCATCAGTCAATAATTTTAAGAGAAAAATAGAGTTAATTCTGCTAATGAAGTCATTTATTTAGCTTTAGTAAAAGTATCAATTAAATGGCTGCCTGGATCTATATTTACTGCTACCAAATATGAATAGACACAGTTGTGATTATAAAGGTTCTGAACCATTTTATAGAAGATTATCCTGTTCCTTTCACTATTTCTCATCTTAGAAGATCTCTTGGAGATAAAATGATCACATATCAAACAAAATCATTTAGATCTATGTTCTAAAGTGCTGGTTTACAGGACATTAGATTCCCAATGCTGACTCTTGCATGTTATTATTTTATTATGTGGTTTGTGGGCATTACCTTCCAATTGAGATAGAGTTTACCTGCATTTTATCTGGTAAGCCACTGCCACATGGCGATACACAGATTACTAGAAATGGGTTAAATTAATATAAGAATTAACCAATAAGAAGCTAGAGCTAATGGACCAAGCAGTGATTTAATTAGTAGTTTCTGTGTGGTTATTTCGGGGATAAGCTAGTCGGTCGTCTGGGACAAACAAACAGCCTCTCATTGTAACAGAGTTTTAAAATATCTTCTGTAGGTCTCAGAGGCAGTTAAAACCATTTGTATGCAGGTTTTCATACTACTATCTTCAGACTTTTTATTTTGTAGCTACCTTTAGCAACTCAACATACAAAATATATGATATTTATACACCATTATTTATAAGTATGGTGTTAAAATAATTAGCAAGGACTATTTAACAGTGCTGAAGATCAGCAATTGACAAGACTTTGGGAACAAGAGAGATATAAACTGTAATTACTGTTAGGAGGGTTAAGAAGAAGAAATAGTTATGTCCCTTTAGAGAATAGTTTTATAGCACATACTAACAGCTATAAGAACTTTTATGATCTTAGGCCTATAAAACCAAAGCAGAAATTACTATGTATATACTTTTATGCCTTCACAGAACAGGGAGTCAGTTATATAATATTATACTGTGTGTTATACATAAGAAAAAAAACCTGGAGAGAAACTGTAGCTCTGGTTTTTATGTTTACTGAAGTATATGATGGCTTTTAGACACTGAAATAGTATATACCTATAAAATATCAAAAGTCTACAGACTCTGTTAATGATCAGAAAAGAATTGTGAGAAGGCACATTAGCAGTGCTAAGGACACTTTGATTTTAAGAAGGAAGTTAAGGGTTAGGATAGGGAGCAAGGAAAAAGAATTTACCTTCCATGTTCACGGTCATGGGTTCAATCCTGGGTTCTTGTATATTGCAAAAGGGTCCAATAGTTTAGAGCCATTCTTGATCATTGCCAGATTCATGGGCCAAAGCCCTTACAGACTGTGTGTTAGAGTAGCTCCTTTTTTAAAATCATGAATTATGGCTTCATTAAAAGTAACAAGGATAATCACAAAGTCTTGATACATAAATAAGTGTATAGGTACCATTATTGATCCATCAAAAATATAATGTAATAAGAGGAATGCTTTGTGTTTTTAATGTAAAGATATCATAGGATGATTCTTTGTGGCATTCTAAGGCTTCTGTTGGTAGCCTCCATTTCTTATACTCCACAGACCAAAAACCTTGCATCCATGCAATGCACGAAGGAAGTAGAAGTCAAAAGCTAGATTATTGCATGACTGGGTATCATACACCAGGTTTGCCTAAAATATTTTTCTACATATTGGGAAGTTTTATGGTTAGTAAAAAGTAGACAATGATCAATTAAAAATGACCCAATTTGTCGGTCTAGTTTTCCTGTC